CCATGCTCTCGGGTTCGCTCACTCGCACATGGCAAACTGCAGCATGGTGAGGAATGTTGCCGGTGTGCGTGGCAGAGCGCTGTTGGTGATGGTGCACTCGACGAATGCCGCGATGGCAGCGAGGGAGCACCACGACTGCGACGACATTGACGGCATGGAGCTGCAGGATGACGATGGGGACGGGAGGGCGCTGGAGTCGCACTGGTCGCGGCGCCACGCGAGGGATGAGTGGATGGCACCGATTGGGGGCGCCGGCGACTGCAGAGGAAGCGCTCCGCACTGAACATGAGTGAATATTCCCACATGCTCTGCGACGTGGGTGTCCCTGTCAAACGCTGCGCGTCGGACCGGTATTCCAGTGGTCGCTGTTTGGGGAGTATCCATGAAAGGTCAGCAAAACACTCGATGGGCCGTTGCCCCATCACTGATCCCACACTGGATGTGAGGGGTACTGAGGGTGCTATTTTGAGGGAAGAATTTTTGTCTGCGATGCCTGGGGATGAAGCCTCTTCGTGGTGTCTGGACACGCTTCTCACCAACACGACGGATTCGAGGGACACGGAGGAGACAAATAAATCATTGCTGCCATGCATGCGGCATTGAGGTGCATCGGCATGCAGTTGCATCTGGCAGTGACTGAAGAGGGTAACGTCCGTTGTGTCTCATGCACGGACGGGGCGACGGTTGCGTGGGCCACTCCACCCTACGATGGGGGAAAAGTTATTTGCCGTGACCACGCGCAGGTGTGCACGATATCCGCCACCAGCGGTAGCCTACTTCCAGTGGTTCCGTGGGACGGTGAGGAGAGAGCATGTGGAGCAGGACGGTTTCACCGGCATCTACTGAACAAGGATTGCCACGGGCATCCGTCCCCGTTGCGGAGAGCATTGAGACCGGCCGCGGCACACAACCGAAGGATGTAGACACGGCTTCTTCCCAGAAGCATCCGTCGCCAGAGGAGAAGTGGATCCGGCCAGGATGCCCTGACAGACCGCAAGAATCTTCTCTCGGTGGCAGGAACCGAAGCAGCGAGACGGACGGCAGGCAGGACACGCCTCCGACTCCCGGTGATGACACTGCTGCTGCTTGTCCCTGTCCGCTGCTTCTTCTGCTTGCCTCTGCTGCTGCCGCCGTGCCAACACTCCATCGAGTTGCGGTGTGGATGGCGTTGCGCTGCAAGGCGACTGCGCTTCCTCCTGCTTGGCCTGCACCCAGCACTGGATGCCCAATAGAAAAACATCCATTTCAATGGGTGCCTTTCTCCATATGCATGTGCTGCATGGGCTCCGTTTAACTTTGTGTTTGAAATTGGTGGTATTTCCGTTGCACACAGCTCTTCTTGTGTTGGTTGCCGATTTGGGGGCACCAGATGGTAGTATGGCATTGCTTGTGTGTTTGTTAGATTTTCTGAGACTCACATACACAAAAACGGTGCAAGTGGAATGTGCGCACACAAGACACACACACATATCCAAGCACATTGTCTGTGTGACTTCTACTTGACATATTATGCGGAGCGGGTTGGTGCGAGCAAGGCCGACGGAAGCGGGCAGCCGCGTGAGCCCAGCAATGGCGTTCGTGGTTGTGTGCGGGATTATATATTTCATCAGATGCTTGACGTCGTTCATGGATCGTTTAAAGTTTTCTGCGTTGCCCATGCTGCGTCTGCGCTGAGCTGCTCACTGCGTCTTCATGATCTCATGGAGCACGACATGACGCTACTCGAGGACCCCATGACACCGCGGCAGCCGATTATGAGTAGCCCTGCACCCTACTTTTTTCCGTGGAGGATGCGTCTGTGAGTCGCGTGGTTGAGGATTGGATGGCAAAGGTTACTTACAGGGATGCACACATCTTTGCGCTGGGGTGCACCCCGCATCGCAGTCCTCAGCAACTCCCGCGGGCTCGGATAGCGCCGAGGGCGATGCGTTCCAAGGAAATGGTGTTAGACTTTACTGCCCCTGAGGTGCTGGTGTTCCACCTCAGCATGCAAAATGAGTTCCCTCAGCTGCTGTCGCCTCCGAATTGAGAGTCCGTTTTGGATGTTGCGGCGCCACGTCTTGTGGCGGCTATTCACGCCATGAACAACAGTGTGCCTGGCATTCGCTACCAAAAAAAAGGGCAACATCTGCCATGGGTTTGCCGGGACCTTTTTTGAGGGGCTTGCCAGGCAATACCACGACGAGCCGGATTTCACTTAGGGGCGCCGACAGCTGCGGCAACCCGGTGCGGATCATCGTTGATTGGGGCTGTGTCACGGTGACGCCGCTGATGCACCAACGCACATGTCAGTGTCTGCTTGACGACCTGATGCCGCTGGGGAAGAAAGTTTATGAGCAGACCTGTAGGAATCGTCTGGGGCGGACTCGAAGCGGCAGTAATTGATGGATGAGGAAGATGTGTACTGGCGCTCGTACCGTCATTGTTTTCTTGCGCAGTGCGTGGAGGAGCTTTCGGTGGCGCTGAAAAACTCCACGCGTATCACCCGGGATTGGCGCAGGGAGTGGAGCCGAAGGCCAAGCTTGCGAGGTTGAGCAGTGCGGTGCGGGCTCCGCCGGAGTTTTGGGAGAGGCAAGCCAAACTGTCGCTGCACATCGATTTTTGCGCGAGGCTTTTGGTACAGTACCGGGAGAAGCGACTGGCGGAGGTGTGGGAGGTGGAACAAGACATTGCCGTTGGGCACAAACCCCTCAGGAAAAACCTGGATGGCGTGCAGCACCTGGCGGGGGATGCCGCGATGCCCCGGCCAGTGCGTCTGCGTCTTCTCCTCTTGCTTGTGGCTGCGAGCAACACCGACGAGTTGACGGAGGCCAGGAAGCAGCAGCTGATCCGAGACGGTGGACTGACGCCCGACGCCCATTTGTTTGCGAACCTTGAGCATGTGACGAGGAGGGCCGGGAGCGTGCAACGATACAGCACGGCGTCGGCGCAGAGCGAACGGAGCACGAGTGCCTCTGCGAGCAACGCCGCGACGGACGAGGATCCGTTTCTGAAGCATGCCTGTATGATGATGGAGACGGGCAGGAATAGGACGCTGCGGGTTCGGCTGTCGTTGGCATCGGTGCAGCGCGATCATGTGATAGGGCCAAATGGCGCGAGTGGTGGCCAAAACAGTGGAGAAGCAGGGGACAACGCCGGGCCATTTCAAGGGTGTGGTGGCAAAGGGGAGAATCATCCTGTTCTGGGTGGCGGTGGCGGTGGTGGGACGATTGCCCTCACAACTCCTCAGCGCATAGTGCTGCTTGTTTTGGGTGTTTTGGCCTGCAGCGAGAGGCGCTCGGTCCATGAGATATCCAAAAGGTATAGCCGTGAGGTGGTCATTGGGGAAACCTCGCTGCTGCGTCCTGAGTCTTTTGTGTGCAGGGACTTGGCACCCTACGGCAGTGGGACTCACGGGCGAGGCACGCACAGGAATGCGTCGAGGGCCAAAGAGTGGAACAGATGCAACCACACACAATTGCGGGTGTCAATGGGATTGTGTGCGCTTCTTCCTGCATTCCGTTCCTCTCCATGAAGCGTTTTATACGATGCGCGTGTGTGTGTTTCAACGGCCGCGCTGCTCGCCTTTTGCCTTTGTATTCTTGCGTGTGCGGTTGCGGGCCATTTCCATGCAACTAAGAAGGCGGATAAAAAAGGAAGGACATTTGTGGAGCATGCACCCACGGCTTTAGTGTTCATCCACTGGTGCTGACCTTTCTTGCCAGGGCATTTGTGCACGCTTTTCCCTCCATGATCACTTTTTTTTTGCACAGGAGGCAACAGGTGGGCATTCGTGAGTGCTGCGGCGGGCTGTTGTTGCCCTCGCCGGGACGCGCTTAACGGCGGCAGCTCCATGACTTTGGTGCACAAAAGGAATGGTACTTTCTCCGGATCCTCACCGCAGACGCATGCCGTGGACGGCCGAAAAGGAGTGTGTGCCCGGTGTTGTTCATAGCTCCAAGGAAAATATGGTGTTGGATGGTGCACGACGAGTGAATGTGGATTGTGTTAACCGTGCATCTCAGGTGGATCTGCTGGAGGCATTGCGGGCGACCGTGGCCAGTTACGAGTACAATACATGTAGAGGAAGGAACATTTTTAAAGCGGTCTCTCAGGCGGAATCAAATGTACTCAGGCGATGGGTTTACCGCGAGGATTGGCCGGAGGGGACGTACGACGAGGACGCCACTCGCACCGCCATTCATTTCCTTTGCTCACGGCAGTAACGCAGCCCGCGCCAATACACCTTGCGGATTTTCCGGGGTGGCGTGCACTGTTCCGCTTGGCGCCACTGTTCCCCATCCCCGAGCTTCGGTGCAGACGTCCCTGTCGATGCAAGTTCCTATCGATTGCGGACACACCCATTGATTGATGCGGCCGACACCTCAGCCCATTGCTGGTGCTTCTTGCATGACTGCTGCACCGCCCCTAGCAGCTGGTGCAGAGGGACTGGGGACGAGAACACAGCAGACCAAGTTCAGTCAGATGGTGCTGGCAGCCCTGTCAGCGTCTCGCCTACCCCAGCGACCCACCACACCACCGGCGAGCACAGAAATCGACGGGACAGGGAAGGCATTGACGGAGTGTCAGGACACCAATTGTCTTTCCACATCACTCCTAGTCAAACAACCGGAAGAATTAACAACAACATCATTCACCAACAATGAAAAAGTAACAGTTACGACCACCGCCGACAGCGACAGCAGCACCGCGGTCTTCTACACCACTTCCCATCTTTTGCATCTTATTGTCACGTATGCGTGCGCGGCTGCTGCTGCGATGGCGTCCGGACCTGCATGAAGTGCTGTGCGCTGAATATGAACGGAGACCAAAGAAAAATGAATTGTTTTTGTGATGAATATTGGCTGCACTTCCCGTGGACCAACAATCCACGTGGTGTGCGGGGATCTCTCCTTTTTAATTGTTACTTTGCTTTTGTGTTGCTGTGTGCGCTGCACCTTCTCTTGTGTGTGTGCGTACCCTCCGTGAGGGGTGCCGACACGACGGACCGCTCTCGCCGTATGTGCATGCGGTGGAGCCTTGTCTGCCGCTCCTGTTTGCTTCTCCCTCTTCCACCTGTGTGTTGGTGCTGCGGCAGGGCTGTGTGTGTGTTTGTGTGTCTGTTGCTGTGGATTGGAGTGTGTGTCGTGCGTGGTGTGCGGCG